AACAGAGGGATTCTCCCCAAAATTATGTATTATAAGCATATACTTGACAAGAGTGAAACTCCTGTAATTTAAAAGTAATCCTTTCTCTACCCATTCCACTGTTCCTTCCAGAGGCGCACAGAAAACAGATGTCAAAGCTGCGCTAAGGAAGTTATCTCTGACACTGCTGTATCCGGGGTATAGGGTGAAATATTTAGAAGAAATAAAAAAGTAGAAAAAAATACTGTTTTATTCTAACAATCTCTTTCTCTCTCTCATGCACGCACACTTTTTTTTTTTTTTTTAGCTCTTTGAAAAGTGAGCAGAATTTATTCAGGTCATGTATTGTCAATGGCAATATTGCCTGTAATATTACCAAAGAAATATTTCAGTTAATGCTAACCTGATTTTCCTTATTATTACAAACTCTAAAACCTCCTCAATGTATATATAGTATAACTAATTCCCATCAAATTAAATTGAGCTTATGAAAGGATGGTGATTTGGTCCTGTAAGGATTCTTTTCTAGAATGCAGCAGTAATGGAACATGATTTAAAATTATGTTTCATTTCAAAAATGATATTTAAATGATATTAACATTGAATGAATGAAAACTTAGTATGTTATTAGCATTCCGAGTGGATGGCGGGTTGCATATTGTCATGTTTTACTTTCATTTTAGAAATATTGTTGGATTAGAAGATTATGTTAGATCAAGGTTAGACAACTCTCATCATTCAGATCAAGTCATCATTTGAAAGATATTGGTTCTCTGAGTTGTATGTTTATACTGAAGAATTGAAAAAAGTAGTGCATGTTGTACAAGATTATTTTACTGTTAAACGATATTTTTAAAACATTTATATTGCTGTGGATCGAAGATCCTGCCGTTCAGGTAATCCTATTACAGATTCATAACTGTCATCATCAGCCATGCCCAAGGCATTGTATTAAAACAGTCTTTCTTCACAGCTGCAAGCCCGTGACATAATTAAAATTAAAGCAGCCCGTGCGCTGTGAGCAGCAGGAGAGGCACTCGCCCTGCGGAGGCGGCTCTGCTCGTGTGCCCCAGGGCCCGTGGGGAGAGGCGGCGCTCGCCTCAGCACCCCCCTGTCCTCTTTGTTCCCCCAGATCTGTTCAAGCAAGTGGCCAGTGCCACGGGGCTCTGCGACCAGCGGCGCCTGGGGCTGCTCCTGCACGACTCCATCCAGATCCCGCGGCAGCTGGGGGAGGTGGCCTCCTTTGGTGGCAGCAACATCGAGCCGAGTGTCCGAAGCTGCTTCCAGTTTGTAAGTTTGCACTCTCTGCCACATCCCCCTTCGACTTTCTGCTTTGTGTTTTATTTTAATTCAGCCTTGCCATTTCTAAGAGGATGGAAAATATAGAAGAAGAATTGGGGTTCTGAGGGTCACTTAGCAGATTTTTTCCCTGGTGTATTAAGTGTTTGAATTAGTCTGTTTGTTCGCAGGCCCCATCTTTAGTGGAAATATGGCAGGGATGGAAACAGTTGCCAGCAAGGCCTATATTGTAACTAAACCTTGCAAGCAGTTAAGTCTTTTCTGGTGACAATTCCAGCTCTTTTACTTCTCTACCACCTGCAGCAGGTCACTGTTTATTTGCTGCCATGTAGATGAACAGGAGCAGTTAATCTAAATATTATGCATGTGCATACCAGTGAAAGCCAGGTGCGCAGGAGAGTAGGATTGGGAGCAAGAGACAAAACCGGAGTGTTGGCATTAGCGTTGCTGTCAAGGAGTGGCAGCGCCCGACCAGCTTCACTGTTTGAATGGGTAAGGCCATTTTCCTTTAAACAGCACGGAAAGGATTTCTGTCCCATCTGTTGAGGAATGTGCAGTGAAGTCTGAGCTCTTGTTCCAAGTTCATAAATTATTTCATTTGGGGAGGAATTAAGGGAATTATTCATCTTGCTCCTAATGAAGAGCAAAATGCAGAAGATAACAGCAGGTGAAGAGGTAGTGAGCTGCTCCGTGTGTGGCTGGAGCGGGGAGCTAATGCATCGTCTGTGGTAACTCGCAGCACACCCTCTGCATTAGTAGAGGGGTGGGTGGTCTCCACTACCCCTATTTCTCAGTCTTCAAAATGTCCCTCTTTTTTTGCCTCCTGCTCAGGTTCCATCATGTAGCAGTTTAGGTACTGAGATAAGCAAAACATAGCAAGTGTTTTCAATGTTTCAGTGTTTTAATGTTTGCAAGTGATCTTCAATGACAGTGTTTAAGGAGAAGCTAATTCCAAAAGGACTACAAACATCAGGTTGTGATTAGGCTTTTCTGTATTTTTTAACTCATTTGTTGGGTTAATTCCACAAGACTTATTTTCCCGCTACCTTCATTCTTGTCTTGCCTTTTCATAATTCAGGTCTCCCTATGATGCCATTTCCAAACTAACGCTATATAGGGCTATATATCCTATGGGAACAATGCTGCTAAACCACACAGTAACTTTGATAGTCAGGCTAGACCCTGCCATGGCTCATAAAGGAGACCTTTAACAGAGTCCCATGGTGAGCTGAACGGTGCTACAGCAACTCACAGTCTGAGCTTATGTGTCGAAAGATGGTTTGTGCCAATGACCTCCTTACAGATTAAGGAGTTTCAGGATCCCATTGCTTCTCTTTTCTCAAGTGAACAGCAACAACACCTACAAAGCTGTATTGAAAAATGATGATTAATGACCTTAGAATTCTAAAAAAAAAAAAAAAGGTTTTGGGAAAAAAAATGAGGCCTTCTGTGTGTTCAAATTAGAAAAAAAAATCACAGAGGTGAAGCACAAAAGCAGCTTTTATAAAATAGAAAACTTTGAATAAATGGTTATTTGATTTCAGTGAGTAAGGAAAATTGTCTTGTTACAGATAAAGAAATTCCTACCATCTGAGTGCTATACTGCATCCAATTTCCAACATTTCTGGATTCTGCCTGAGCAAAACTAGGCACAATTTTAGCATGTTCATAAATCAGAATCCTGCAAAACTTGGAGGTTTCTTCACTTCCCTGCAATAGAAAATAGGTAGTGCTCTTCTACCTGCCGCAAGAGGAATTTTATCCTCTATTTTTAACCTTCAGGGAAAGCCACAGTTTAACTTGAAGAGTTGGGAGGATTGTTTCTGACCCAGGCGCCAAGGGAAAATTCCTTAGGGAGGCGCAGGTGAGGAGGGAAAATAGGGGGGAGCGCAGGAATGGAGCAGACGGTCCTGGCTTAGGAGAGACCTCTGGAAGGGGGAAGGAGGAAAGCGAGGTGGAAAAGCTGCCAGAGGGAATGAGGACAGTCGTGAGAATAATCACAGAAATCACAGTGTCAAAGCAAACAAACAGTGGGGGAATTTACAGTTCATATTATCACGTCTAAACTAAGTTAAGCCTTCCTTTGTGCAGGAGCAGCAAGGAGCTGTGCTGCGGTGCGGTAGCCGCGCACAACAGCACCACGGGGTGTTTGCTGTTCCCGGAGAAAGCGGGAAATCTCTCCTGGTGTGTGTGGGAAGGAGGAGGCCTCGGGAGTGGCGGGGGCGGGCAGGCTTGCTCCGGCAGCAGCCCGCTGCTCCCGGCCCTGCGCGGCTCCCTAGCGTGCATGAGGCTGCAGCAAGCACTGCTCGCGGGAAGGAGGCGCTTTCCTTCCCCACTAACACTTACCTGGGTTCCCTCTGTGCAGAGAAAGGTGCTAACATTCACTGTGGAGAGCAAAAGGGTGTTATGGAACTTGTAAGGTCTTTCCCACAGCGGGGAAAATGTCATTTCTTGCTGGAGATTATACGTGTCTCATGCAAGACCTTGAGCTAGTGACCGTAGGAAGAATGTCGAGTTTAGCATGCATTATTTCCATATGCAATCCATATCTACATTTAATGCCTTGTTTCACTTCATTTTCATGGAGGAAAGTATTTCAATTTTGTGTTGTGCAGTCATCATTTCTAGGTTTGGACTGATCAGTGAACGAGAAAGAGAACAGTAGAGAGCTTTATTTTTTCCAACCACTTAAATGTGTGTCCAAATCCAGTGTATTTACTCAGACAAACAAATCCAAAATAAGGGTCTGTAAGCTTTTTTTAGGAGGAATTTGGTTCCTGCAAATCCTGGACTGGGACCTGATACTAACTTTGGCTGATAAAGGCACTATTTTTATTTGGTTGGGCTGTTGTTTTGAGGGAGATGTTTGGAGGGTTTTGTTGGTTTGCTTTTTCGACAGGTAGGGAATATAATCCCCTTATACAGTCGCCTATTTAGTATAATAGAGAACTTTAATATAAAAACTATAGTTTTCATAGAATAGTTTTCTAGTTTTTTCATATAGTTTTCATAGACTGAGCTTCAGTCCGATCGCCTTCCTAGGGATGAACCGAGTTCCCAAATAGTGTGATCAACTATAAACTCGAGTCTGGCACTACTAGATTCACGAACAGCCTGCCGACTGTAGAATCACAGAATCACAGAATCGTTAAGGTTGGAAGGGATCTCTAGAGATCATCTGGTCCAACCCCCCTGCACACGCAGGGTCACCTAGAGCACGTGGCACAGGACTGCGTCCAAGCGGGTTTTGAAGATCTCCAGAGAAGGAGAGTCCACAACCTCTCTGGGCAGCCTGTTCCAGTGCTCTGTCACCCTCACTGTCAAGAAAGTTTTCCCTGAGTTCCTGTGGAACTTTTGGTGTTTCACTTTGTGGCCATTACCTCTAGTTCTGTCGGTGGCCACCAGTGAAAAGAGGCTGGCACCATCCTCTTCACTGCCTCCCTTGAGGTGCTTATATACACTGATTAGATCTCCTCTCAGCCTTCTCTTCTCCAGGCTGAACAGGCCCAGCTCCCTCAGCCTCTCCAAGGCAGGATCACCTCCCTTGACCTGCTGGAGATGCTATTCTTAATGCACCCCAGGATCCCATTGGCCTTCTTGGCCACGAGGGCACACTGCTGCCTCATGGTCAACTTGTCGTCCACCATGACACCCAGGTCTTTCTCTGCAGAGCTGCTCTCCAGAAGGTCGGTCCCCAGCCTGTACTGGTGTCTGGGGTTATTTCTCCCCAGGTGCAGGACCTTGGTTGTTTTTGGTAGATCTGTATGAAAATAATGTGCAAATACCATGTTATTGTTGAGACACCTGGTCTCTTGGTGCTTCTGAAAGATCCAGCCCTTGTTTCTACTTAAGGGACATTTCTTCTGCTCCTGGCTCTGACACAGGAGAACTCGCCCAAGGAGAAGTAACAAATCCTTCCTCAAGCTGCGAGTGTCAGAAAGCAGCACTTCTCTGGTTTTACCTCAGGAGCTGGTGACCCTGTAGCTGGTGTTGGGAGGCCCCCTTGAAGAGTTCTGCAAGTGAACTGGCTGCTTGGAGCTACTTTGAAATAATTCAAGATGTGGCGGGGTGGGAGACTGGGTTTTTCAGCTGGTGGCAATACAGTGCTGTGCAATAAATCAGTCCTGGGTTCACTCGACTTTAGTAGTCACTGCCAGAACACTGACACCTTTGACTGGAGCAGTGCAGTGCAAGTGTAATGCAAGGGATCAAAGTAACCATCTTTTAAGCATTGGCTCCAGTGGTTTGCATCATCCAAAGCTACCTTTATAATAATCCTCGCTTTGCTGACCATGAAACAACGCTTGTCTTGGAAACTGCAAAACCTGTTGTCTTCTGGACAGTGAGCAGTGGGGAGAATATAAATGTGTTTGTTAGGGAGACCATTCAGGAGTGGAAGACGAAGTGAGGTGGGGCTTGGCCTGACTGTGGGTAGGCTGGGCCTCTGTCCTGCTTTCTTCTTTTAAATACATACAGCTCATTTCTTACACTGCAGCTCTACAGAACATAGCTCATCAGAAATGCTAACAGAAATTTGTACCGTATTGTCAGACTTGGTCTAAAAGCATATTACACTGTTCATGTAACATCATGACTGCATTTTGTAGCATATTTCTTAAGAATAGATAAAGTTGATACAGCACAGAATATTAAAAAAAATACTAGATAAAAAAGTGAAGAAGAAAAAAAATAAAACAGAAAAATAAAACTCCTGACTGTTGCATAAAGATGCAGGCATCACCCAGCTTCCCCATTTCCCTATTGCTTCTAGAAAATAAATGCTGAAAAACAGATATGTGGAATATAATGAATTTGAATATTCCCCCCTATCACCAATAACAAATTGTTATTTGTAAGCTGGAAATGGCTTTATGAATTTTACTTTATGATTCACTGTTATTACCATAAAAACTGGGAGTTCCAAAGAAATGTGTTCAAGAAAAGAACCATTAATATTCTTTACAGCTTGCTCTTGTTGCTTCAGATATGTTCTGTATGAATTCAGACTTCCTTCCTTATGTAAAATCTTTAGCTGTTGCCTTTACTGGATTTAGAGATTATGAAAAAAAAAACTGTAAGAGCAGCCCAGGGAAGAGCTGAGAAGTGTCTTGTCTGTCCTACGCTGCCTGACCCTGACCAGCATTTTTGCATGTGGCTTTTAATCTTCACGTAATGTAATTCGGAACCAGTTTTGATACATTTTAATGCACCTAATCTCCCTGAGCACACGTTTTGTGCAGGCAGGATGCAGAGCTCTGGCTAGGCAGCTACTGGGGACCGCAGTCAACAGTGACTGCAAAATTAAAATAGATCTTTGAATGTTACAGAAAGTCTTTCATCACAGCAAAATTTGCCCTGCAAATTTAAAGCAACTACGGATGTCCAGAATAGTGCTTTGAGCAGCTCATTTTTATTCTGTCTACAGCTTTCACTGCAGCATGTCAGTACATTTCCTGTTTTCTTACTAGCAATAGCACGTTTAGGAGATAGATAGATACTCTTAATATACTGGAAGCTTGGAGCACTAACCAGTGCTCTGCTGGATAGCATGCTGCATTGCCAGAGCAGCTCCTGGCTAATGTCGCCTCACCAAGTGACGCAGGGCAGTTGCTCCTCTCCCCCGTTCCACTGCTGCAGTTGCTCCTTGGAAAATAGAAATGATCGCATTTTATACATGCATCTTCCTCTTAAGAGCATTCTGGAATTAATTTAAGCCACTGGATTCACAGCTCCAGTGGAAGGCAGTGTGCGTTATCCTGCTGCCAGAGCTGGAGGCTTATGGCTTCTGCTCTCCATTTTGGCTGGAGTGGGGAGACCTTGTGCTGTCCTAAATACAGTGGCTAACTGAAAGGCCACGTGAGGAAGATGTGATGGTGAAGCATTTAGATGTATTTCAGTTTGTTTAAAATAGATTATTCTCACTTTGTACAAGACACGTAGTGAATATTAAATTATAAGACATGTGTCAATGTGTGTTTGTATGGTTTTACCCCAAACATCCAAAAACGATGTGTACAACAGTACCAAAAATCCCATTTACATGGATCTTAAATGCAGTGTTGGGAATCTTTAGATTGTTTCCCAAGTTAGTATAAATATCCCAGGAAGACCTTGACTAAAAAACACTTACTTCTACTCAAAGTATTGCAGCAGCATTTTAAGTCAATTTTAATGTAGTGCATTATTCCATTCAGAATAGATTCTGTGGGGTTTTTTTTATTATTTCTGTGGGATTCTGTCTCTGAGGAACTTTATTTTACTTGGTCTGCAGTTATTGATCCAGTTAGTTGGTTTATGAGAGCTTATAAACAGTGAGTTTATAAACATTATAAACAATTTATAGTTGTTTTTCCATATAGCTCTTTCACGTATGAGATCTTTCCTCTCTATGTTCTGCCAATGTAGTATGAACATTGCGGCACTGATCACCATCTCCTATCGCTGTTCCTTGTCTGATTGCTGTTTCTTGGCTTGTATTTTAACCTCTGCGAGGTAGAAACCATGTTTTGGTTTTGGTGCATGTACAGACTTGCTGCAATATTACTGCCCTGTGGTTTAACATTCCTTGGAGTTACTATCCAACAGGTGAATGAGCTATTTGCGGTGTGTAGATAACGATGGGAGGAAGCAGAGAAAGAACCATCAGCAACTTTGCATGGGCTCTTCCGCGACTGTTGGAGGGGCCAAAGTGGGAGGTCAGGGAGCGGGAGACGAAGGGCCTGGCGTTTGGTGGGTCCCAGCCCCGTTGGGTTTTCAGCCAAGGACAAGTTAGAGATGAGTGAGAAGAAGGATTCAGAGGTGCTTGAGAAGGCAGGGACTCTACATATTCAATTCTTGAAAAGCAATTTGAATGCTTTCCTTGGATGCATTTTGAAGAAAGGTCAGTGTGAGGATGGAGGATGTTCGAGAGAAAGGACTTTTGATTGAAAGACAGGGAACTTCACGGGCTGCAGAACACAGATGGGTTTTTTAGTCTGACAAGTGGGAACCAGCACTATGCAAGTACAGATAAGAGAGAGGAAAAAACACAGGACCAGGCACAAGAAGTGATCCCATAAGTGGATGGTTCTCCCTGTGGCAGCATATGTGGTAGCGCTGTCTACTGTAATAGAAAATAAGAGAAATGGATTTGAAATGTTAATAATAGCGTTCAGTTCCTGTTTTAAAGGCACATTTTTTACTTTATTTATTTTTAAGACTGGATTT